CCCTCTAAGTGAGGCTTGTTCCAACCTTGTTGGCTTTCTGGAAGGTCCTCCAAATGGTTTTGCTAATAGCTTCAAGGTTCTATGATAAAGTGTAACTTCTACGGTGATTGTAGGAGAGTTAATTGATGTACTCTCTGTATGCTTTGCTGCCATTTTGGGTTTGTTTGTTTTTTTTGTCTTCTTTTTAAATTTGAATTTAAATTGAGGTTAATGGTTTTTAATTTATTTATTTAATAAATAATTAATTAATAATTAAAAGTCACCCAAAGTCACCATGTAAGATGTGCAGCTATACAAATGTGATAGATAGATTTGATAGATGGATGGATGGATGGATGGATGGATGGATGGATGGATGGATGGATGGATGNAAGAAAGAAAGAAAGAAAGAAAGAAAGAAAGAAAGAAAACACATGGCTGGCAAGCCACTCCCACAAAGGAGGCCACACCCACAGAGTAGGTTCAAAACAAATTTGAAACCCACCACTGGTTTGTATCTATGGTTTGCCCCTGTATTATTGAGGTGGAAGCTGGTCGTTGACAGGTAGGACGTTGTAGCAGACAATTGTATGTACTACGCCTAGGTCCGACCGCAGGAGACGGAGTTCCAGGTTGTCGAAGCGCAAAATTTCGAGCCTGGTGGCGTAAGGGATTCTGTTGTGAGCAGAGGAGTGGAGGACTCTTCTCGTGAAATACCTCTGGACTCGCTCGATCGTATTCATGTCCAATATGTAGTGTGGATTCCAGGCAGACGAGCTGTATTCGAGGATTGGTCTGGCAAAGGCTTTGTATACCCCAGTTAGCAGTACAGTGTTACTGAAGAAGAAGCTTTGCAAGATTAGGTTAACAACTCTTAATGCCTTTTTGGCAATGCCGTTACGGTGAGCTCTGGGGCTTCGATCGTTTGAGATGAGGACTCCTACAGTTGTTCCCTGCTACAGGTAGTCCTTGACTTACGACCGCAATTGAGCCCACAATGTCTATTGCTAAGCTTGTTAAGTGGAGGGGTTGTTTTTTGCTCCACTTTCCCTGTGCCACGGTCGTTAAGTGAACAGTTGTTCATTTAGTAACATTGTTGTAGCTTCCCTGTTGACTTTGCATGTCAGAAGGTCGCAAAAGGGAATCAATGACCCACCCACCCCGCTGGACACTGCGACCGTCATAAATATGAGTCTGTCGCCAGCATGAGAATTTATATCGCAGGACCATGGGGGGATGCTGCAACGGTTGTTAAGTGTGAAAAACGGTCGTAAGTCACTTTTTTAGGGCTGTTGCAACTTTGAACGGACACTAAGCCAAGGTTGTAAGTCAAGGACGGCCTCTATGTTCTCGTTGCTCTCAGCATACTTAGCAGAGTTCCAAATCCGTAAGCTTTGCTCCCATCATCAAACGCCTTCTCGAGAAGGAAACCATTTGGTTCTTGTCTCCTATTTTTACACACAAACACATGCAATGAATTGTGCTTTGTGCAATATGGGGCAGGTGTTGAACAACAGACCCAATTTTTTTTTACAATGTTTGAAGACAGCATTAAATTAGGTTCACACCTTTTCCAGCTATATAATAAAAAGTGTGAACAAGTTCCCTGAAGAAGATGGCAGAAATTAACGTCTTAGAATGTACTGCTAGCTCACACAGCCAGAAGAGTATGCCTCTAGTAACTTACGTACCGTAGTATAAAGTAGTCATTAAGTACATACTGGCTGGGGGAATTCTGGGAATTGAAGTTCACAAAACTTAAATTGGACAAGATGGAGTTAGTTTAGTTTAGTTTTAGTTTTATTGATCTTGTATGCCGCCCACTCCCGAAGGACTCCGGGCGGCTTACAATAAAACAAGGGA